CTTCACACTTGTAGGTCAACCATACATAAATTGGTCCTCATATCAATTTATTCATTTAATATTTTAAATTTTGCCCTTTTATTGTTATGATTAATTTATGGGAACATGATTTTGCTATTTATTTGATTGATTTTCATTCCACCTTTATTACTTTATAAGTAACTCAAGGTGGTGAACATACATAATGTTCTTTCTTCCTTCTATTTTCCCCACAACAACTCTGTAAGTTGGGCTGGGCTGAGAGATATTGACTGGCCAAATTCACCCAGTCGGCTTTGGGCCCGGCCTATTCAGGAGTGCAGATTGGTGGGGCCCAGGAGGCCTCTGCCTTTTCTACAGCAGTGCCCACCCTCTGGAGCATTCTGCCTCCAGAGATTAGAATGGTCTCAACCCTGCTGGCTTTCCAAGGCCCTAAAGGCCAGAGTCTAGAATTGTTTTTATTCTAGTGGTTATTGTTTACCACCCAGAGTCACTTGTGGAAATGGGTGGGGATGCTTATGAACCCAAACAGTTAGTTAATCCAATAATCTGGTTAAAAGGGATTTGTGAAAGTAGCCACTGATTCATTTCTCAGTTCAGTTGTGGAATAGCCCTATAGTCCCACAGTAGCCAGCTCTCACTAGTTAGGTTCAATGTGTTATGTGCTCCTGGCTACTTTCCTTCGTGACCAGAGGCAAGCTCGCCTGACCAATAACCAGCCAAGACACAGTGAAGGCCTTTTGGTTTATTTATTGCAATAAGTGGGGAGAGAAGCTATCAAAGCTTGGTTCTCTCCAAAATTGCAACCCAAAATATTTCCATCTTTATACATGCCTGTCCCGTACATCCCTCCTCTTTCCCCATTGGCTGAGGTACTATGAGGTTACACTCTTTCTGACCGCCTCCTACATATTTCCTGCTACATACTAAATCATACATCACATGTACATTAAAATTAAGAGATAATTTTTTATTTTATTTTATTTATTAATTGCATTTATATCCCGCCCTTCTCCTTACGGACTCAGGGCGGCTGACAATTGAATAAAATACTAACATATATACATATACTTAATTAAAATTTGATTAAAACAAAATATTTAAATATGTCCAATTTAAAAGTAATTAAAACCCCCTTTAAAATTTATGCAAGATGTGTCAGTTAATATTAATCAACTAAATTGCACATGCTCAGTTGCCTGAGTTCTGGCCCCCTTTTTTATGACTTCTTAGAAAAATAGGTTTTTTCCTGTTTTGCTAGTTATCTTCTCTTACAGATGTTTTTATAGCTTGTCTTCTTCCTTTCCCACTCTAAGACCCAGCTAATTTTTGCTTACGTGTTTCTTTTACATCCTTTCTTTATGTTATCCTTTTCTGTTTCCCAGCCATCATAGCTTCTCCACTCAGTAAATTTCCACTGCAGCAAATTCAATTTTAAATTTCTCTTTCAATATTAAATTTTGAAGACCTTTCCTTTACTTCTATCAAATGGATTCCCATCAAGCTATTCTTGATGGTAGATATAAAATCTCCTATTCCAAATGTTTTGCCCTTTTAGCTCTCAGGCAAAAAGGAGGCAGATCATGTCCTGTAACAGGGGTCCTCAACCTTGGCAACTTTAAGACTGGCTGAGGAATTCTGGGAGTTGAAGTCCACAAGTCCTGTCCTACAGCACTGTTATTTCTATAGAGTTTTAGAAGCCATTTTAATCACACCTCTTTCTGGAAGTCTGTTCTAGGCCTCGGAGGCCTGGAGAGGGCTCCCAAGCCTAGAATGGCCCGCCAGAAATGTGTTGATGTCACTTCCGGAAGTCCATTCTAGGCCTCGGAGGCCCAGGCCTGCATCCACGCAGAGAACCAGATGTTAAGGTATTTGAACCCCACCATTGACCTCTTTGGAAAGATTTCCCAGGCAGAGAAAATGATGTGGAAACCTGGTCTTCAGATTAATATTTCCTATTCCAAAGCCAAATTATCCCATGCTCCAAGAGTATATACTCAGGTTTTGGCAGACACAGCAAATATTTAAAACATTTCAGATTGATAATTACACTGTTGCTGTTGGTCTCAGGGTAAAAAGAATAAAAAAGGCATGGATTTGAGGCAGTCAATAGTCAAGGGGGCTGTTACAATTCTGTGATGGAAGTCATGACACATTTAACATGTTTCATGTATGACACACAATCACATTGGGCTATAACTATTCAGTGCAGGAATCCATATTAAAGCTTTTTTTTTTTTGATAGAAATTTTTATTAATTTTTCAATTAAGACAACAAATACAAATACAAATGATGCATGTATATACACCAACAAACAATAAAAATACTCAGAACATTTTCGGATACACTCGGCAGTCCCCGCCTTGCCTCCACCCTCATCCACTTTACCTCTCCTTCCTCCCCCTAAACCCACAACCTCTCCTCCTTTTCTTACCACCTCTCTACATCCCCTCCGCATTCTTAACCACCTCATCGAGTGCAGCTTGGGGTACCAGCCGAGTATATCCTTTTATTAATACAATTCCATTATAAACCTATAATAATTGAGTACATCAAATTATAATCTCCCCCTAATCGCCGACTTCCCAGAACTAACACACTCCTAAAACAATCAGTTATATAAGAAAAAACTTTAACTCAAATAATTAAAAAAAAACAAAAATTATACTGTTTTAACACCAACACTCATATATAATTATCCATCTTCCCCCAATCCAAATATCTAAAAATTAGACTTTATCATTTCTCATTATAATAATCCCATTAAATACAAAAATTAAATCCTTTAAAGTAATATAATTGTATATCATTAATCATCTACTTCAAAACATTCATATAAATTCATTCTTATTTATAATACTAATCCAGAATTTTAAAAGTATAAGCTTCAAAGACAATCCTTAAAAAAAAAAAACTTTAACTCAAATAATAAAATAATATAATTGTATATCATTAATCATCTACTTCAAGACATTCATATGAATTCATTCTTCTTATTTATAATACTAATCCAGAATTTTAAAAGTATAAGCTTCAAAGACAATCCTTAAAAAAACCTTTAACTCAAATAATAAAAAAACTCTATTTTAACACCAAAACTCATAATATAATATAATTATCCAACTTCCCCCAATCCAAATATCTAAAGATTAAACTTTACCATTTCTCATTGCAATAATCATAACTCCTTTATAATTATATATCATTAATCATCTACTTCATTCATCTTATTTATATTGCTAATCCAAAATTTTAAAAATATAAGCTTCAAGAACAATCCTTCTAACCCAGCTCTCCATTTTGCATCTCCCCCCAGTTTCATTCATTTTCACATCACAAAATCAACCTCATAATCAGTACATTTCCCACCTTTTACATTTTATAACGTATCCAAAATTTTTGCGAGTAGTAAGCCTGTAAACTTCTTCCAAGGGCACAAACGGCAATGTCTTCAGCTGGTTTTCTCTGGTGTACGACCCATAAATGGATTCTATATAAACTTTTTTTTTCTCAAAATTTCACTAGGGAGGTACACCCAAACCATAACCAAATCAATTACCGCTTCTTTTCCCAGCTTTTCAAACTTTTCACTTTCCAATTCTCCATAATATAGCATTTCATTTTGGGATATTTCCATGACATCTTCTTCAACCTCTTCACATACTTTATTCACCCGTTGCTCAATGTAATCTGGAACTATAAACTTCTGGAGAGCAGATGCCACAGTTCCATATAATTCTTCCAATCTCTTAAAACATAGATCTTTAACTTCCACACTATATTGCTTGACTGCTTGCATCAAAACATTCTGTAGATCACTCATAATGAAAGATAAAGACATTTTCAGTGAGATCCACTCAGCAACCAAAAAGAAAAATTTCTTTCTCACTCTTTTTTCTTTTCCTCAGATCCGCAGCCATTTTAAAACTGCCAAAAATTTTTTAAATATACTTCATTAATCCAAAAAGATAGCAGTATTAATATCACCAGCCAGAATACACCACAAATTCATTGCAGCTAAAACTTTCCAGAGCCGGATAAGTAACAATGTATCTCTTTCCAGTCAGTAGCCAAAAAAAAGTGAAAGTAAAAAAAAAACAAACGAAAGTATTCCAGAGAAACGGCAAGTCCGCAGCCATTTTCTCTCACTTTAAATCACCACAAAGTAAAGAAGATGTTAGTATATTCCAGAGTCAAAGTCAAAAACAATCCACTGTTAATCCGAACCTCCTGTTTAGTTCCGTCTGCTTAAAATTTAAGTCCAAATACCTTCCAATAGCAGAGGTGGGAGCTGCATCTGGCTTCGCTCCAAAGGAATAGGAGCGAAGGCGCCGTGGGGCACGGAGACCATCCAGACTCCGGGCGAGCTAACATCTCTCAACCCCGATTACAACAAAACCGGGGTGAGAGGAAGCTCGAGCCCTATCCGGACTTACTCACCCCCCCTCTTTGCCCGAGGGACGAGGTTCCGAGCCGAGAGACAGCTAACGAACGCTGTCTCTTCAGGCTTTGACGCGCTCCCAGGCGGGCGGCTAACAAAAGCCGCCATGCGATGCAGCCTGTCACCACCGGAAGTCCCATATTAATGCATTTCTGTCAGAAGGTGTCTATCCTCTTTATCTAGTTAAAGGAAGCTCACTTCTTCTCTTTGTACTGGACTACTTTGTCAAATTGCTATGACCCTATGACATTTTCCCTACATTTCAATCAGAATTCAACCTACATTTGCAATATATTTGAAAAAACAGATCAGGTCAGACAAACCTTATTGCCTTCTTTCATAAAGAGACTAAATTAATGGAACAAGGAACTGATGTGGATATGGTATTACTTGGACTTCAGTAAGGCATTTGACAAAGTAGAACACAGCCTACTTCTTGGTAAGATAGAACAATGTGGGATAGACAGCAGCATCACAAGATGGATTCACAGTTGACTGACCAGCCACACTCAACGTGAGGTCCTCAGTGGAACTACATCTATTGGAAGAAAGCATGCATAGCTTCAAGGTTCTGTCTTGGGCCCAGTGCTTTTCAACATCTTCATGACTTATCTAGACAAGAGAATAGAATGAGAGTTCATCAAATTTGCAAATGACACTAGGCTGGGAGGAATTGCTAACACTTTAGAACAGACATGTCAAACTCGCGATGTCACGTGACGTCACGTGACATATCGGAGCTTTTCCCCCCATTGCTGGCAATGGGGTGTATGCGGTTTCCTGGTGACGTGTCCGGCCTGTGGGCCGGCAGTTTGACACCTCTGCTTTAGAAGATAGACTCAAGGTTCAGAAGGCTCTTGACAGACTCAAACATTGGGCCCTATCAAGATGCACTTGGATGGTGAGAAAAGTAACATCCTGAACTTAGGCAGGAAAAAACAAATGCATAGGCACAGAATAGGTGGTAGCTGGCTCAATATCAGCAACTGTATAAATCAAATAAGCAAACAAATAAACAGGGATACATTGTTAGGGATAAATAACACCAACCTAGTGGACCACCATTTAAATATGAGTCAGTAGTGTGCTGCAGCTGCCAAAAAAAAAGCCAGTGCAGTCCTAGGTTGCATCAACAGAGAGATAGCATAAAGATTACAAGAAGTGATAGTGCAGCTTTATTCTGTAATAGTGTGGCCATGCTTGGAATACTGCATCTAGTTCTGGTCACCACCATATAAAAAAATTGCTGAGACTCTTAGAAAATGTGCAGACAACAGCAACAACAATGATAATGGGTTTGGAGATTAAACAGTATGATGAAGAGTTAAGGGAACTAGGTAATCTAGCTAGCCTATCAAACACTAGGATTACGAGTGATATGATACTGTGTTCTAATGCTTGAGAGGATGTCACACAGAAGAGCACCAAGGTCAATTTATTCTCCAAAGTACCTGAGAGCAGGACATGAAGCAATGAGTGGAAGCTCATTAAAAAGAGATCCAACCTAGAACTAAAGAGAAATTTCCTAATAGTGAGAACAATTAATCAATAGAACAGCTTGTCTCACTGAGTTGTCGGTATTCCATCACTGGAGGTTTTCAAGAATAGACTGGACAACTATTTGACCAGAATGGAATAAGAACACCTGCCAGGCAGGGGTGGTTGGACTAGAAGATCTCCTTTCCAGCCCTATGATTCAATGATTTTATGAAATGAATTCATGTCCTACCTTCTGGGAAGTTAAAAAATGGCTCAGATCCTTATGGATGATATCATTCAAGATTCTTGAAGACAATTATCCTTTTCCCAAATTATGTTTTTCAGGAGTTTCAAGAAGGTCTGTCTAAGAAACATAATAACTATGAAGGAAAATGAGGGTCTTCTAATGTTTGTAGCCTTTGTAATGCTACTACTGTGGGGTAAGTGATTTATACCAAGGGTTTAAAAATGTAGTAATCATGTTTATTTGTTTAATAACCGCCCATGTCACAAAACATTACACTGGTTGCTGAAAATAAATAAAAAGAATTTCTGTCAGGTTTTCAAAATTCTGTTATCATACCCACTAACAATAAATGGAGTTCCACTAATTTATATGTATTTGTTTCCTGATATGGCCTACAATGACAGTAATGAGCAGCTGCATAATCTTTACAGTATTACTGTATATTATACATGCCATTACAATTTGTACTCAGCTTACATTCATTTGTTCAGTGACAGTTCAAAGTTATGAAGGTACTGAAAAAATGGAAGCATAACTGATCCTCCAAGTTCTGGCTATTGCACTACCCCCACATACTATCAGAATTCAGGCTGGTCCACCTTTCTAATGATTCCATCTGTTTCACATTCCCCACCCCATCCAGTGCTGACCTTTGTCATCTTCTTTACAGTACTAAAAATAAAAGAGTGATTCCTGGGTATGCTCATGACGAGGAACAAGAAACGTGAACACCAGGAAAATTTAAAAACTATAAAAGTTTTAATAAGTTAAAATCCTAGCTTTCGCTGGCCACTGCCAGCATCATCAGGGATCAATCTAGGTCAATGGGAGTGCTTATTTATACATGATCAAGCTGTTTTTGCGCCCGACCCATGGATGCCGTCATGGGGCTCAGTCGGCCAATCAATGCTCCGGTCGCAGTCTCTGTGTCATTAGCCAGTTTATCCTCGCTGCTCAATAAGGTGTATGAAGGTAAGAGCAGCGAGGATAAACTGGCTAATGACATGGCTGTCGAAAGAAAGAACGAGGAGTTAAAGTGCGGATTGAGGGTGGGGGATAGCTGTGAATGCATAGAGGAACAGGACGGACTGCGAAGGGGAAGATTGCGAGGTGAATGGTCTGCCGCGAGTAAGTAAGTAAGTAATTCACCTCTCTCTTCCTCTCTCTGATCTTCTGCTCACCTGGCAAGCTGGCTTCAAGCTGTTCTCCAACCAGCTGACACACATTCTTATTGGGCTAGCTCAGGGGTAGGCAACCTGGCTCTTTTATGACTCATGGACTTCAACTCCCAGAATTCCTGAGTCAGCATAGCTGGGCTAGCTAGCTCTCTCCTGCCCTTCCTGCTTCCTGCAGAGATGCAGCAAAGGGAGGAGCCCCGCCCAAAAAGCTTTTCAGCTCATGGGAGAACACCATGAGTCCACTCTCTTTTTTACAGAGAGAGAGAGAGAGAGAGAGAGAGAGAGAGAGAGAGAGAGAGAGAGAGAGAGAGAGAGAGAGAGAGAGAAGCTCTGTCTCTCTCTGCAAATGGCAGAGGAGGCTGGGAGCCGCAGGGAAAGACTCAAAGAGCATGCATGTGGCTCCAGAGCCGCAGGTTGCCAACCTGTAGTCTAGGAAGAGGCAGGAATCCAAGGCAAGCATGCAGACAGGTGACAGCTAGGGGTGGAGTAGCAAGTGCCATGGGCAGATGCTAGAGAACATGGGGCTTAAGGTGATGCAGTGCCCCATCTATGTGTGTCTTGAGGTGACATAGGGTCTGAGGCCAGTCAGTGGTGCTCGGTCTTGAGGTCATATGGAGTTGCTGGGGCTTGGTCAGCTGGCCCTGCAGGGGCTTCTAACCAGAATATATAGGATTAAATTGTTAGTTAGCTAACTATGGACAGTTAGTTAGTTAGTTAGTTGGCTATCAGTCGCTGTATCAGTGAGATGGGTGGCATAAACATTTCATACATGAATAAAAACTACAGGAAAATACAGTAGCCTCAATCTTGACTTGTTCCTAAACACAACCTGTAGGTTTTATAGCGACTTCTCAATAATAGCTTCCCTCCAGCCATCACTTTCTGCTTTCTGCTTCCCTCAACCTTGCCAACTTACTGGTAGTTGTTTTTTCTAGACTGTCATCATCATCTGACACATTACATATCTAAAATAAGTGAGATTTTGTTTCCTGATTATCGCTTCAAGAAAGCAGCAAGCCTTATTTGGTCCAGAACTGATTCTTCTTGCAGTCCACACTATCTTAGTAGCCAAAGTCAGAATTCAAAAGTCTCTTTTCTGATTGCCCATCTCTCAATACTGTATGATTGCAGAAAAACAAACATCCTGCTTTAACTGTTCTGATCTTTCATGTCTTCATTCCATTGTCCTTATCCTGCAAGATCTTGCCTAAATTTGACATTATCTTCCTCTCCAGGATTAACTTGTCTTCACTTCTCCAGCATACTATCAATCTTCATTCACTTTGAGCCTAAGAAAACAAAGCTATCAACATTTCTGTCAACAGGGAATTCATTAAGCATACTGGAACTCCAAATACTTTTGCATAATTGCAAACACATTAACTACAGCTGTTCCATCCAAACACTCAATTAAGTTGAGAGCATTTTCATGAAGGAAGGCAAATCTACGTGTCCCAGGATAATGTTGCAGGATCCAATCTGGGTCGGCCACTGGGACCAGAGGCTTAGTCTTCCGAGCTTTCAGACTCATGCCAGAGCCCATCCTCCAGGAACTTCTCTCCCACCAGAATGTGTGGTGAGAGAGAACTTCTCCCCAAGGAGGGGCTCCAGCACAAGTTTGAAAGTTCAGAAGACCAAACCTCTGGTCTCGGTGGCCGACCCAGATTGGATCCTGAGAGCATTTTGTTTTTCTGTTTCCCATAAAAGCCAATAAAATCCATACAATTCTGGGCAAAGAAAAATAACTTTTTACCCAGCTCATTAATTTATGGAATTTAAAATTGCTTGAAGATAAGAGGGACACTAAATTGGGTAGCTTAGCTGTTTTTAAAAAATGAAAGTCTAACTCTTTTCTGTATTCTAACTATTTAAAATTGCATTTTAAGGAGGCTGGGCAGAAGGCACTACACATGACCATATTACTCGTCGACCATATCCTGTTCCTTTGAATGGAGTAAGTAAAAATAGCTTAATTGCTTGTATATATGATTTTGGTTTATAATTTGATGACTAATCTCAAGGCATAATTTATTCAGAATGAAACTATAATTATCATGTAGCAGTAGATTATAAAAATGTTAAATGAGAGAATAAACACCATATAGTACCATGTTTAAGAATCATGTTTTTAAGATAATTCATATTTCAAGCACAACACTCTCAAGAGGGCAACAAGTTAAAACATCTTAAAATATTTGGTGCATTTGAAAAGAAGTGATGTCAGGTTTCTGTCATTATCTTAAAGTCCCCCACTATCAAATATTGCCGTAGCTTTTCAGAATAGATGTTATTCTAAACACCCCAGAAGACAAACTCAGTATCCAAACAGGACAAACTTGAACAATGAGCCCTATCCAGCAAAATGAGTTTCAATGTGGAGAAAAGCAAAGTTTTACATTTAGGCAGGAAAAACCAAAGGCACAAATACAGACTGGGCGAGACCTGCCTCAAAAACAGTAACTATGAGAGGGACCTTGGAGTCCTAGTGGACGATCACTTGACTATGAGCCAGCAGTGTGCAGCAGCAGCCAAAAAAGTTAAAACAAGCCTGGGTTGTATAATCAGAGGCATAGAATCAAGATCACATGAAGTATTAGTACCACTTTATAAAACCCTATAAAACCCTAGACCACACCTGGACTACCACAGCCAATTTTGGTCACAAAATTTTGGTCATAAACATGGGTTTGTCAAAAACAGATCATGCCAGACAAATCTTATTGCATTCTTTGACCAAGTGACAAAATTAGTGGATCAGAGAAATGCAGTGGATATAATTTACTTGGACTTCAGTAAGGCATTTGATAAAGTAGATCACAATCTACTACTTGATAAGATAGAAAAATGTGAGTTAGACAGCATCACCGCCAGATGGATCCGTAGCTGGTCCTCAATGGAACCGCATCTACATGGAGGGAAGTGTGTAGTGGGGTGCCCCAGGGCTCTGTTCTGGGCCCAGTGCTCTTCGACATCTTCATCAACGATTTGGACGAGGGGATAGATGGGGAAATCATCAAATTTGCAGATTACACCAAGCTGGCAGGAATAGCCAACACTCTAGAAGACAGGCTTAAGATACAGGAGGATCTGGACAGACTTGAACACTGGGCACTATCTAACAAAATGAAATTCAATGGTAAAAAAAGTAAGGTTCTACATTTAAGCAAGAAAAACCAAATGTACAGGTATAGTATAGGGGGTAACTTGCTCAATAGTAGTAACTGTGAGAGGGACCTCGGAGTCCTAGTGGACAATCACTTAAATATGAGCCAGCAGTGTGCTGCAGCTGCCAAAAAGGCCAACACAGTGCTAGGCTGCATTAAGAGAGGGATAGAATCAAAATCATGTGAAGTATTAATACCACTTTACAATGCCTTGGTAAGGCCACACTTGGAATACTGCATCCAGTTTTGGTCACCAGGATGTAAAAAAGATGTTGAGACTCTAGAAAGAGTACAGAGAAGAGCAACAAAGATGATTAGGGGACTGGAGGCTAAAGCATATCAGGAACGGCTGCTGGAATTGGGTATGTCTAGTTTAATGAAGAGAAGGACGAGGGGGGACATGATAGCAGTCTTCCAATATCTCGGGGCAGCCACAAAGAAGAGGGGGTGAAGCTATTTTCCAAAGCGCCTGAAGGCAGGACAAGAAGCAACGGATAGAAACTAATCAAGGAGAGAAGCAACCTAGAACTAAGGAGAAACTTCCTGACAGTTAGAACAATTAACCAGTGGAACATCCTGCCTCCAGAAGTGGTGAATGCTCCAACACTGGAAGTTTTAAAGAAGAGACTGGACAGCCATTTGTCTGAAATGGTATAGGTTTCCCTGCCTGAGCAGGGGGTTGGACTAGATGACCTCCAAGGTCCCTTCCAACTTTATTATTATTATTATTATTATTATTATTATTATTATTATTATTATTATTATTATTATTATTATTATTATTATTATATCACAAAAAAGATATTGAGAGTTTGGGAAAAATTCAGAGAAGAGCAGCTAAGATGATCAAAGGCCTGGAGACTAAAACATACAAAGAATGGCTTCAGAACTTGGGTCTGGCTAGTCTAAGGAAAAGAATAAATAGGGGAGACATGATAGCAGTGTTCCAGTATCTGAGGGGCTGCCACAAGGCAGAGGGGTCAGGTTGTTCACTAGAGCACCAGAGGGCAGGACGAGAAACAATGGTTCGAAACTGATCAAAGAGAGAAGCAACCTGGAATTGAGGAGAAACCTCCTGACAGTGAGGACAATTAACTAGTGGAACAGCTTGCCTCGAGAAATCGTGGGCGCTCCATCACTGGAGATTTTTAAGAAGAGGCTAGACAATCACTTGTCTGAGATGATATAGGTTCTCCTGCTTGAGCAGGGGGCTGGACTAGAAGACCTGCAAGGTCCCTTCCAGCTCTATTCTATTCTATATGTACAAGAACTAGGCAATTTGGTTTTCCTAATGCTGCTCCTTTTTTCTTTTATTACTCAGTGTCCAGCACACCCAACCTGTAAGTAAAATCTGGTTCACTTTTACATTTTTGACCCCAAGGATGTTCAAAAGAATGAGTGGGATGAAAGCTAATTGGACCCATAATTAACAGCAGATACAGTGGTCATAGTTCAGAATTCTTTTTAGGTCTACAGTATAATATAAACCTTCTCCTCATTTAGCAATCATAATCTATTTCATAAATTGGAAGTGAAATGGTCGCTAAATGAATTATCTGATACACAGACAGAGAGAGAGAGACATTGTGAAGACTGCTGGTTGCTGCCCTACCATTTAGATAATGTTCCCTTATACAGCAATGCTAGCGTTAGTTAGTCTCATTGCTGTCAAACAGAGAAATCTGGGCACCCCATTGGTCGGAAAAATATTTTTAAATTATCATCATCATCATCATCATCACCTTAGCCATTGTCTACCCACTGCAGAATGAAGGCCTCTTCCACATGTTTCCAACTTGTACGGTCCTGAGTGTTACATTTATTTACTATTATATTTGTGAACAGTTGCTAGCAGAGGTAGTTGCTAAATGAGGCTGTAATCAATGTGTGGGGAAAAATTGAGTCCTAATCTTTGTCCCTTGGTCAGATTGATTGTGACCAAGAAACACAGAACCCAGGATTTAAAGCACAGGCAACACTTTCTGAAGGAGAAAACTCAGACTGCAATCTAGAACAAAACTGATTAAATGTGAAGATATTTGAGACTTTTGACTAAGAAAGATTATTTTATTTTCATCTTTGTTTCTATGTTGTTTTATGTTATTTAAAGCTGATCAGCAACTACAGTAAAATAATTTCATTTCATTTAAGAACAGCAACTTTGATTTTTATTATTAAGTTTATTCTTTTTCTCCCACAGCTCCAACCTACTGCTCTTTTGTCAGCAGGTATGTTAGAACTGAAGGGAATGATTTAAAATATAGTGGATGGGGAAATAGGGAACCTTTCCCTCCAGTATGCTAGTCAATTATTTCACACAAAAATAAACTAACAAGATCTTGATTTATTATCATCCAATGATTTATTGCTTCAAAAGAAGTATCACTTGGTTCAATAGGTTAGTACATATAGGATTGGAGCAGGGATATCTGGGGAAGGAGGGGGAGGGAGGTTAAAAAAGTCAAGATGGAAGCCATGAGGCCTTCTTCCCTTCCCCCCTTCCAAGGTACTTCTCATGAGTGTGGGGTAGGGTTGCCAGGTCTGCTTCCAAAAAATAGCGGACAAGCGGGGGGGGGGGGTTAAGTAGTAAAAAAAGTAGACTGTACAGCTTTAGATTACGTACCATTTCATCATAAAGCTTTTGAATAAAAAAAATGTCCACTATTTTGTGAAAAAAAATAGTGAACATTGTTAAGTCCGGAGAATAATGGCGCTTGAGACGAAGCATTTCTAACAAGTCTTTATTCTCTGCTTCCAATCTACGAACAACCCGAGCAGAGGCACGCAGGCCTCTATTTATACCTTCTGATCCCCGGGCAAATCCAACCAATCATAAGGCGGTCTTTTCCCGCCTTGCGCATGCGCGCAAGGCCGGCGCCACTCAGTCTGGTCCCGGGCAGCTTTTGCAAATGCCCGGGACTCTTGCAACGTCCCGAGCCTGCTTTTGCAGGCTCAGGACACAACAAACATAATGTGAAAAAGCGGACTGTCCACTCAAATAGTGGACACCTGGCAACCCTAGGGTGTGTGTGTGTGTATTTTTTGAGGTGCTCTATTTGTTTGTGAAATGTGTGGACTCTCCTTAAAACTGATTTCAGGTTCTCAGCTCTATTTCCTAAGGTCTGGGTTTCAGATTCTACATCTCTGGGCAACTGGTTCAAGGCCCCTGGAGTCTCCTTCGGGGAAGTGACTTTTTGGAGCCTCCAGGTTCCTGGGCTTGGCAGGCAGTGGCCTTCTGGCTGGATACTGAGACAGCGTTTGGCCAGGGTTCACCCTCCGAGTCCTGGAGGAAAGGCTGTGTTCGGGTTCCAGCTCTTCAAGAAGGCTCCGTTGGTTGCTGGACTTGGTGGGGTCTCCTTCAATGATGGGGCCCGCAAGAGGATGGCGTGGGGAGCCGGAAGAGCAGGAGATTGCCACCAGGCTGGCAGCCTCTGAAATAAGAAGCTCAGCCTAGCATCACATCGGCCCTGCTCCTCTGTGAAAAGCAGAAAGCTCAGTTGGGGCCATTAAATGCATGTGAATGTTGTTAAGCGGAACACCAGGTGCCTTGGGGGTGGGAAAGGCTCTGGGAAGTCTAGCGCAGGCCCAGGCCTGCCTGCCCTGGGTCTCCCAGGGCCTCCAAAGGCCCCCACCCCCAAGGCACCCAGTGCACCACTCACTGCCCCTTGGGGTTTCCCCAGGCCGCAGCCTCCTCGCAACCCAGTTACTCAGCCATGCAAGAAAGTCTAAAGCTTCTCAGCAGAAATAACTGGTATATGGAGGGTAATTACAGTCTGTTGGCCAAGGCCTGCTTCCCATCCAGCCCCTGAAGGGAGCCTAAAATGGGCTGCAGAAGCTATGGGTGCATGGAGCTTGTAGGCCTCAGCTTGCTTCCCACCCACTACCCACTACTGTAATGCTCTCTACATGGGGCTCCCTTTGAGGAGCACCCGGAGACTTCAACTGGTCCAGAATGCGGCCGCGCGGGCGGTGTTGGGAGGGACTCGTCGCTCCCATATAACACCGCTGCTGCGCGAGCTGCACTGGTTACCAGTGGTCTTCCGGGTGCGCTTTAAGGTGTTAGTTACCACCTTTAAAGCGCTCCA